AGAAGCAGTGCCATTACATCCTACAGCACCCCACAGTCAGATCTCTCATGACAGTGGCTTTCCCAGAAGGCAGATTGCTGCCTTCTGTTGGAGTCCCACGCAAATACAGAGGCATTCCATTTCTCCATTGTTTTTTCTAGAAACTTCAAGGTTTCTCTAGCTCTAGAGCAACTTTTATATTAGTTTCTTGGTCCAGGGGTTCCATATCTGGCAGATAGTGTAAAGTCAAGCCCCGTGCCATTCTACAGCTAACTACAGCTGTTTTTTAGAGTTTGTTTTCACCGGTGCATGACAGTTGCTTGACCCTTAGGCTTAAGGGCAGCATTTTTCTAGTCCCTATTGAGGGACAGAAGAAGAACCTTCCCATTCCTGGACTTATATAAGGAACCCAATCCCAGCCTCCCTCTGTACACGGGCTTGGAACTCTGGCTCTTCCCATTCATGCTTAGCCTAACCCCCCCAGCTCAGGCTCAGTGCTGTGGCCACCTAACCCAGAAACTGTATGGTGTCTTAAATTAAAGTTGTGTACTTAATGCACCTTCTGTCCTTCTCAACTCAGGACAGGCCTTAGTTTTTGCACACCACCACGATGCTTCCCTTGGGCCCTTGCCTAGGAACATTCCTATTGGACAGTCCTGTTGGATTGAACTAAAGGTCAGGACGGGTAATGCTTGAGTGGGGCCTTCTTTACTCTGGGCCTGGTTTCCCGTGGTTGGTGGGATGGTGGGGATGAGAGGCACTGTGCAGAGGTGCCCCTTTTTATTTTCTCTTCTTTCAAATCAAAAGAAACGGGCAGGCCTCCCTGAGGCAGGATCTAACCCAGCGCAACTCCCCCGTTGCCATTGAGTTTCACATTCTGCAACCTCAGCTTCATATGCCGAGACAGAAAAAGCAGCAGGAAGACTTGTTTAACATTTATTCCCAGGATTTTTTTTTAATTTCCTCTGAAATGAATATGAATGCACCATGGTCTTTACACTCTGCAGGAGCTAATCCCCCACTGGAAGCTTTGGGGGAACTTCGTTCCTTCTTGCGGATGCGATCTGTCGGCACCCGCGTTCCTTCAGGCTCTTTTGAAAGGCCCACAGTGGATGGAGGGGCTCTCTCTTTGGAGCTCTATTACATGTATAACTGTGATTCTTGAAAAAGAAAATAACATAGGAATTGCTTCCAAATGCCTGTGTGAAACCCTGACTTCTCTCCGAGTGCAGGCGGCTTTCACTGGCTTGTCGGACAGCAAGTATGCCCAGCGTGCCCGACTGCTGCAGGCCGCTGACCAAGGGGGGGGACACTTACCCCAGCCTGAGCCCCCTGCACACGCTCAACGGGAAATGTGTGCTTTCAATGTTGAAAGAACCATAGGAAGAAAATGATATTTTTATAGATGAAAGTGCTTAATAAGTATTATTTGCTAAGTAAAATCATGTAGTCCTTGAATGTCTTAGTTGAGGTGTCAATTTCATGAACAAGGAAAAATCTGGCTGAAGCTTTAATCTCTTCTAATAATGGCTATAGAAATTCTTCATATTTATCCAGTGAGCATGTCTTAATTGTTTATTGTATGCATGGCAACATAAGGAGGCTCTCTGGGGGCATTTTAACCAATCGGTCTTCGATCTCAAGAAGCTTCTTTTAAGGTAACTAATTTATTTGGGGGCTAGCTTGTGGGATAAAAATGGTCCTAGAATTGCTAATCCAGTTGAGAGGATTTAAACTACTCAAGGCTATGGAAGGCTACCTGTTAAATTCTCTGTCCATGCCCTTTCACACATTTGTGCTTTTAAATCATACGGAGTATTTTTCTCGGCACAGAATAAGGAACCCTGATTATAATAAAGCATTCCCAGGTCTCTCAGTGAATCATATGGAATGGGAATCCATCTTAGAGTTAAAGCCGTATATCTCTCCCACACTATCTGATGAAGCCTTCTGCAGGTTTCTTGGGTGGCCAATCACATGACAGATATATGACTTTGAGACAGGAACTGAAATAAAATTCCTATAATACCCTCAGGGGAAAGAGGCATTGTCACTGTTGAGCCTTTTATCCATGACTTAATCCCCTTTAAACTTCCCTTAACCCTTACTTAGGGCTCTGAACTGAACCTACGAGAGCTGCTCAGTTTTCCTACCTTATCCTCAGTACTTCAAACTGCTATGGCTTTGTGAATTTTCTTTCAAGGATTTCAAGGGCTCAATGATACAACATAGGCGCTGGTAGACTTTATTCAATATTCTAATCATCAACCCCAAGAATGCTTCACACGATGGGCCCACAGGAGACAGACAAACTGAAGAACAAACAATATGATGTTTCCAGAAAATACATTTTCAATGGCACATTTTCAACAGCCCCAAATTGGAGACCACAGACTCTCGGCCACACCTGTTGTCGGGTAGCAGTGAACTGCAGACAAACCCCCCAAATTCTCCAACTGACCCCTCCATCTCCCCCACCCTGTAACAGCCTGGTAAAGTGGATGTGGGGCTCCTGCTCCAGAGATGCACGTCAAAGACGAGAAAGGCAATCCCTAACAGTCATTCCACGGTTTCTCTTTCTGTCTCAGAATTCAGCAAACGGTCATGCTGCCTTTCCAGTTCCTCAGACCAAAACCTCAGGGTCATCTCAACTCCTCTTTTTCACAGCATCTAACATGTCAGAAAAAGCTATTGGCTTTACTTTCAAAATATGTTCAGAATCCAGCTTCTTCTCACCACCTCCACCACTTCCATGCTGGTCCAAACCACCGTCATCTCTCCCCTGGGTTCCTGCAAGAGACTCTAACTGGATTCCTTGCTTTCTCTCACGGCTCCTGTCTACTCCCACTCAGGAGACAGAATAATCCTGTTAAAACTTCAGTCAGATCATCTCACTTTCCTGCTGGAAACTCCACACCAGCTCTAGGCTGGCTCACACAGAGTGAAAGCCAGGGTACTGACAGTGGCCCCCAGGGCCTGACCAGACCTATGCCCCTGTACCTGAATTATCTACTCCTGCTCGCTCACTCTGCCATGCCCATGCCAACATCTGTGATGCGCCTCTCATCTTGCAGCCTTTAAGTCTTAAGTCTTTGCCCAAAGGCAACCTCCCTTTGGGGCCTTCCCCAGTCATTCCCAGTACCTGCAACCCCCAACTCCTGGCTCCATTTACCCTTTTCTGTTGTATTAGCTCTACTACACATCACCATATGACCAACTATTTATTTACATATTTTTGGATTCCTTCCCTCTGCTAGAATATGAGTTCCATTAAGGCAGGACTTCTTGTCTGTTTGTCCCCTCCTTCATCTATAATAGATATAAAACACTGGCTCATGGTAAGTGTTCAATAAATACCTGAATAAAGAATGGATGAAAGAATGTTAAGACTGAATTATACACTTTAGGACTCGAGGCTTTGATATGGTTTCTCCCAAATATTCTGCAATACACATACAGCCCAATGTCTTCAGAGTCTATAGCAGGTGTGTTAAAGGGGGAATAAGGGGCCTCACAGGATTTCTAGAAACCTTTTGGATTAAATTCCACACTTTAGGAGGTGAGATTATGTTAAGCTTCCACATACAGACAAGTCCCTGTCAGCTGATCAGGGGCTGATACTGGAGCTGTTACATGCATGGCCCTGGATCTAGTTTCAGGGGAGACAGGCATGGAGCTGTTCTGGGAAAGAGAGCAGAGCACAGTGGCCTCCACGTCCATATCTGCCTCTAGTACCAACCGCACACTCGTGTCCAATACCGAGATTTTCTCCTATGAAAACAGGCACTCCCTCAAATAGGAGTATCACTGCAGAAAAGAAACTTTCCAATGGAAATTTGGTGAGAGGAATGTGCTATATGTCCAAAGATTTATTTTTTTGATTTGGGATTGGTTTGGGGTTAGGGTAAAATAGAAAAAGAAAGTTGATAGTAATAGGCTTTTTGAGGACTTTACTTTTTTTTTACAAAGAAATTAAAGACAACATGAGAAAGAAATATCTGATCATCAGCATTTTGACCAGTAGTAATATGAGTATGTTTTATTAGAGTTAGTGTGTGTGCATGTGTGACTGAGAGAGTCAGGGAGAAGGAAAAAGGAGAATGACACTTTTTTTCAAAATGAAGTTTCCTATTCATTAACAGATAGATCTGTTGTCTCTGTTCTTTTTTGAAGCATAATCTCAAATTATCAGTTCAAAGATCAGTCAATTTAGTGACAAGAAAACACAACATCACTGAAACCAGTGTTTCTCACTGAATCACATCAGTATTAAAATGTTTTCCATAGACTTGTAAAACAAAAATACAAAGTCTTAGTGAAAGTTGCTTCAAGTTCACGTATGTCTAAATGTTAGATTATTCCCTTAAAGATAATGGTTGGCATGGTAACAAAAATAAAAGAAAATTATATTCTTAACATGGTTTTGGACAAAGAATTTAAAAAGACAAATTCCACCATCACGTATCTATGATTTTTACTATCATTCTAATGACTACTTAGAAGGAAGCACACCTAGCCAATGACTTCAGGGGTACTACTCCTCATTAAACAGTATTGTTTTCTCATTATTTCATTTGTGCAGAGAGCATGGGTCCAACAAGACTTTGCATCCTTTCAGAGCAGAAGCTGTATCTTACACTGCTCTTATAACCCCAGGTGGCAAGCACAGAACCAGACACATAATAGTAGGCACTTAGTGAATACCAGCTGGCTTTACTTTGCTGTCAGCAATTATTTAAAACTCTGGCAAAGGCTTTGAAATTGTGCACAGGCAAAGAAAAACTGGCTGGCATGGGTTAAGATGCCCTACCAAAAAGCAAACATCATACAGGATAAAGAAAACCATAGAATGAACACAAGTTTTGCAGGTTTGCATCAGGTATCACAGTGAACCATGTTTCAGAAGTTTGTTGTTTTTTAAAAAAAAAAAAAAAAACAAAACAAAAAAACACACTCTTAAAAAGTTAGCTTTGAACTAGGTATTTTTAAGACGTGAATTCAGAGCTAAAATAAATTCTTACAGTTTTCATCCTGGGCAATGCATTGTAAGGGGATCCCAAAGAAAGACGTATAGCTGTCATTGTACCACACCAGAAGCTCGGTGCCCCTAGGGATATCTATACAGGCTCGGTAGAATATATTCGACCTATTCAAAACAAAAGAAAACCCAGCTTAGTAATACGTAGGACTCATGTGCCCCCACCACATTTTTATTGCCCTGAGAACTTTCTGCCCAGCTCCACCTAAACAGTTTGTTTGTAATAAATCTACACCCACCATATCGTCCCCAGCAATCAATCAGAGCCTGTAACTCAGTATGATAAACAGCATAGAGTTTATTTCCACCGTGTGCCTCCATAGAGGGTCTTGAAGAGATAGATATTTGGCCCAGGAGATGGCAGAAAGGCAAAGTTCATTTAAAACAAATTCCATCTCACGCTAATGAGAAAATTCTCTCTTGGCAAATTGCAAAGACAGTGGTGCCTCAACCTCATATATAAATTAATACTATTGATCTCTTATTTGAAGGAAAAGCAGTAAGTGTATTCTGGCAACCTGGCATTGGGAGTTCCCAAATTTGTAATAAAAATGAACAGCTTTGTGATATAAGGACTAAGAGAAATAAAAATCCTCTCCACTGCCTTTTTTTTGTTTTTCTGAAGTTGGATACAGGAGAAGAGGGGAAAAAAAAACTCTCTTATGTGAAATGGATGGAAATTCAATAAATACAAGAGGAGCACTTTACACTGGCTGAAAGATTACACTCTGGAATGATACAGTGAAGGTACCAAGAAATAAACATTTTTTATCTCAGCTTTGATACCGTAAAGAAAAATCTACAGATTAAAAAAAAAAAAAATGAGGAGATCGCGACTGGTTTTCTCAATGAGGAATGGCTACAAATATGAGCCTCAAGTTCCAGATAAAAGTGTTTGGGGTTGGTGGGCCTTAAATTTCGCCTTTCTGTGAGGAATTGGCTGTAGCAGGGCAATTTGTTCCTTGTACAACACTGCAGACATAAGGAGAATCCTTCTCCACATTTTTCATGGCAGTGAGATATGCACTTGTCAACATATTTTGTCACCACAAAGTGGCTCTTGGCAATAGGATCATAAAGATCAATAAAAAAGTGCAGATTCTCAATATTTTACTTGCAGCTGCAAAAATTTCATTTATCTTGTTATTTGCCTTACTTGCTGCCATTCTGTCTCACGAGGGCACTGCTAGCTAAGCAGAATGTTTTTTCCCAACATTCTATGAATATCTGACAAAAACTCCAGCCAGTTGTCCGGCCCTCACCAACCTTTCCTCCCTCTGCATCTCTAGAGCTGTGCATTTTATTAATTCTTTCCACTGCTACATAAAAAAAAAAAATCAAAATTGGAGCGAGCTATAAATCACTGGCATCTCCTAACTTGAGAAAAATTGAGTCTACTTTGTACTTCACCCTTGTAACATTTCATCTCTCGGTTTGGCTTCTCTTAATATAAACACAGCGCCCGGCAAATGAATGTGCTAAAACCAAATGACACACTTTGCCGCTGAAAGAGCAGGACTGTTTTTGAGCAATGGGTGGTCTTCTGAGGCATGGAGTAGGCCGAAAGGGGGGGAAAAATGTGTAAGCGTACACCGTTCCTTACAAGAGGGCAGAGCTTCCAAAACTCGCAGAAATCTCTGCATGTTGAAGCACATCAAAGGGATTTTTCCCTTTTCAGATAATATTTCCTTTGCTGACATGTATTTAGTATTGTGGTTGGATGACTCATAAAGATAGCTTCATGGCGTCCCAACGCAGTTGAAGCAGAACACATGCCAACAAACATTATTGTCAGCCTCAAAATAAAAACAAAACGTTCAGCTAAGGGTCAATCAATCAAGGGCGCTTTGAAGAAAATTCCATTTAGATATTACAAATCATAACAGAATGAATTTAAACCAGCTGACTTTTTGTGAAGAGGACATTCACGTACAATAAAAATTAGACTGGCTCTTCAGGGTCCAACTTTTCTATTTTCTTACTTTTGGACGTGGCCACTGGTGATGGATGCCAGTTTTTAAAATTGTGTTTTTGTAGTTCATTTTATAAAGATCTGAAGTAATCAAAAACAGATCAGCCGAGAGAGCCCGTTGTTAAAGCGCCGTCATGAAAGGGGAGTTGTAAAATCCACTTAATATTGACAGATAGGTAATGACTTACTCGTGCCCCCCCTTCCTCTTAAGCATGTTTTTTCCCCCCAAATTCAGAATTTGTCTCAAGAGCTCCCTGGGTACCCATTACAAGAACCAGCCAAACTATCTTTTGACGGCTAGACAAGAACAATCTTGACTAATTTTCTAGCTCAGAGTTTTGGGAAAACTTCATGACAATAAAGGTGGGTTAGGACTGTAGACAGCAGTGTAACCAAATACCGTCTTGCACTATTTCATTTAAACCATTATTTAATAAAATAAAACTGCATAGGAAACCAAGGCAATGAGTCAGATGGTGCCCCAATTTTCTCCTTTTGAACTGGAGACCTTTAGAGAGCAAGCCAGATTTGTGCAGCCTTTTAAGCTACAAGGCGAAGAAAGGTTAAAAAACAAAACAAAAACAACAACAACAAACAAACAAACAAAAAAAAACCCCACTTCATTTAAAAAAAAAAAGGCAGAAAAATAAATAGCCATAGGCAGGACTCCAAGTTGCCAAGCACAAGGCCCTTGGCTTTGATGTGTCTGTGGTGCCTAATAAAGCTAAACAGTTGCTTCTGATTCTAAAGAGAACACGGCTGTTTATAACTGAGCTCATATATTTATGTGGCACATGTTTTCGAGGGATTTTGAGAAAAAAAAAAAAAAAAGCTTAGTGGTGTTTTTTTTTTTTTTTTTTTTAATTTGTTTTTGCCATCTTGTCTCCACTCCAGGCTTCTCAGGCAGTAAGTGGAAATGCTTGCTCAGCAGGTGCACTGAGGTGGCTTAACATCCTGAGAATCCACCTTGCTTCTCAGCTCCCCAGAGGCTTCCTTATGTGACTTCCTGTGGGGAAAGGGAGATGGCTCCCCTTTGCCTTTGCCCCTCATTGAGCTGTACCAGTACATCCATCATGGGAGATGGGGGCTCTTCTACACTTTGAAACTAATTCATCTTTGGAAACATATTGAGAGTCATCAAAGGACCAAACCCAAATGTTCTGGCACTCTTTGAAGGAGCAGGAGAGGTTACCCTGGCTCAGTCATTGTTGCAGAGACAGCAGGTTTCAGAAGGACCATCCTGGGAAGGTTGAGAGTTCCTAGATTCCCATGCCTTTATGCAAATGAAACTGTCCTTCCTGGGAGCTATCCTGAGGAGCTGAAAGCCAGGGGTCTGGGACTGAGTTTCTGAACTCCTACTGATATGTGGGTACCCATCTACTGGGGGAGCCATCCCAAGTCAGTGGCTTTGCAGGACTCAATCAGGCTTTTGTGGAAGTTCAAGTAATAATGTGGAAGTAACTTTGGCATGTTCATAGAGTGTAAGAGGCCATTCACTCACTAATCTCTTTATAAGGAGGCTTCAGAAAACTAACCAAAAAAAAAAAAAAAAAAAAACTCTGTCAATCTGTGCAGAGTTCTATAGGATTTTTCCAACCACTAGCAGCAAGCCTGAATTTACATATGCAAGCCATAGGGCTTCAGGTCTGTAAGTGGTAAATCAAGATATACTTTACCTGTACTGAACTACTGTTAGATTCTGTTCTCCGCAGTGCCTTGCACATCGGATATACCTCATCCAGCTCGACTTACTAGGTTCCCCACCATCAATAAAGTGCTGTAGTGTCCCATCTTGATCATATATCTAGAGAAGAGGTCAGAAGGTCAAGTAGTTAGAACGAATCATCAGCAATCATTTTCCCTGCTTCCCTTGGTGTCTTTATGTGTCAGCTGCAGAAATTTATTGCCCTCAGGTTTGCTAGTGCTTATTGATGCTTGTGAAAACAACCGGAATAACAGGAAAATATTTTTTGGTGAAGCAAGTCGATCACATTTCTTTTATCAAGCCAATCTTCTCTGTATTAAACAGATTTGGGGTATCTCAAGGATGTGGCCATATTTCCCAAAGAAATATTTAACCTATTTTGACAGGCTAGTCTTAAGTAATGAGCTGCCGGATAAACAAAGCAAGCTGAAAGAAGAGGCCACGCTGACATGGTTGGACATCCACATAAAAGGCCCCAGTCTTAAACATGTAACTGTTTAAAGGCATTTGGGAGGCAATCGTTGTCTGTCCAACAAGCTGGGTGACACCCCGCAGAAGGCAGTTGGAGAGTTAAAGAGCTGTGAAGAACTGCTCAAATGGATTCTGGTTCTGATGAAATAAAAGGACCCTCACCTCACAGCAGACATGGGACTTCAGCTGTCAAGACTTGACACTATTAGGAGAGGAGTCATCAAAAAAGGGAGACCCTCAAAAAAGGCAATGAAAAAAAAATAGCTGTTTCCTACGGATTTTAAATTTCTTCATGCTCTCATAATCATTGCTGTAGGTCAACTCGAGCAGATTTTTCTCTCAAGATAACATATAAGAAAATGAAATCCATTTCAAATCACGCAATAAGCAAGGACAAAAAGTCTTTTGCAAAACAACTAGCTAACCAAGCACTCAGATTCAGAGCTCAGAGGAGTAGCCACAGCTCCCCTTCTAAAAAACACTTCAGATGCAGGGCATCTAAGGGGACATGGTGTCTGGAGTAGTGAGAGATGACACAGTTACCTATCAACAGCAATTCTAGAACGAATTCCCAGACTTAAGGGCATCTGGAAAGCAAGGTACAGTTAGAGTTTCTTAGAGATACAGTGCTCTGGAAGACCATGGTACAGTTGAGTGTTTTCAAATAAAATCAACAATGGGACCATCTAGTAGCCACTGAGGTGTCCCCAGAGCATCCTGGGAAATTATGTCTCTTACCCTTGCTATTTTGTCTTCCACACGTTGCTTTTCCAGATATACACACTGAGAGTCAGTCTCACAAAGAGACTTTCTGGTTACATTTAGTCCCTAAACTTAGTGGTCATTCATATTAATATAGCATAGTACTTCTATTCTGGAGGGCCACAGAGCTTAGGGATGACAGTTTTGGGGGGAGTTTTTTGTTTGTTTTTTTGTTTTTGTTCATTTTTTTACTATCACCCGTCATTTTAAAAGAGTTGGATTTTTTTCTGCTTTTCTTTTTTTCTTTTTTTCTTTTTTCTGCTTTTCGCCCCCAACCTTTCCACTAACCCCCACAAATAAAAAACAAACTTAATCTAATAAAGACAATCATTTGAGAAGTTATGGCTTTGTAAACACACTGGAAGGAACACAGCTGATAATCAATTTAGCCTGAGAAGAATGAAGAGCTTCCTGGATTATATTACATGTAAAGCTAATGACTTCTTTAAATTCCAACTTGGTGGATAATGACAGAGAACAGAAACATTTATGTGGTTGATACATCTGCTATGTGAGCAACCTAAAGACAGGCATCATGGTTAGATTAGATTACACTGTAGTTGTTTTGGTGTGTGTGTGTGTGTGTGTGTGTGTTTTAGGAAGTCACTTAATATTCAAAATCTCAACTCAGCCTGCTGTTGACAGCTAATGCAACATTGAACAATGTTCCCTAAATGCCAATTATTGACCATTAATGGAATAGAAAATGTTGAGGACCATCTTCCCCCACCCCCATCCCTGTCTCACTCTCTTCCAAAAACAAACCTTCTATAAGGGACCACCGGTGGACAGTAATATGAAGCATTTTCAAAGTACCACATCATCCTCTTCAGTACTTCTAGTGGATGTCCTCAATAGCAAGTATTACTAGCATTCAGAGGTCGAGGGGCCTAACTTATTAGCTTACTTGAAAACAATGCACTCACCCATTTTGAAATGAGTGTAAATGTATTTCTTCCTACAGTTCTGTTTCAGCAATAATCTCCTTAACTAAGTATATCGTGACCCCAAGGAAACCCACAGTTTTTGCCTGCCTGATGTAAACTGTTTCTTGTCTTGAAGAAAAAGTAAATGCCTATTTGTTGGTAAATGTCATGTGATGCAGAATCTGACAGGAGGTTTTGTTTCCCTGGCTTCAGCTAATATTGATATTATAATGTTTCTCATGAAACTAACAAAATTCCCAGGCACCTACTTAAATCTTGTAACTGCATACCTAGAGTTGAAGAAAGTCATTCGTTCTGGATGCAGCTTTTGGATAGTGCCAAAAAAACAGAAGGAATTTAAGGAGATCAACTAATGCCAAGACCAAGAGTTGTTTTGTTTTTATTATCTTTCAAAAGATTTAAAATGAGCAGGAAAATATCAAAAATCATGTACAAAGTATTTCAACAGTCTTTTCAGGACCTATGTTAAATGTTTTAAAAATCAGAAATTTTATTCATTCAAGTAGTGAGAACGAAGGTAAGAGCATTACATTTAGATGAAGGAAAAGATTCATTCTGAAAAAGAAAACAATTGAATGCAGCAAACTTTTGCTGAAAATTGTGTCATTTATTCTGAAAGAACATGAACAACAACATTTTAAATATGTGCTCCACTTTCCTAAGAATGTAAAAAAAAAAAGATCCTTCAGAGGTAAGAGAAGAAACATACAAGACACTGGGTAGGGTAAAGTCTGCAATGGAAAATCCTCAGAATCGTAGAATGTATGTATTTGACATATTTTTTAGAAAGCCTGAACCAGCATTGCTGAAAAGAATATAAATTGGTACAAACACTGGAAAACATTTTGACAATATCTAAATTTGATAACACTTATATCCTGTAATTTAGGAATTTTATTTCTAGAAAATTACCCCAGTGAAACTCTGATGCATGTGCTTAAGGAGGCAAGTTCAAGGACATTCACAGCAGCATTATTGTAATTGCAAACAGTTAGAAATAATAGAAATATTCATCATCAGAAGAATAAATAAGTTGTCTTATTCATTCAAAAGCATTTGTATGAAACATTCAAAATTAATGCACTAGACCTGCTTGCATTAAGACCCAATTGAGAGTTGGGGATTTAGCTTGGTGGTAAAATACTTATCCAGCATACACAAACTCCTGGGTTCAATCCCCAACACCACAAAAACAAACAAACAAACAAAAATCCAGCTGATACAGATAATATTGATTGAGAAAAATCAAGGTGAGGATCATTATCATATCATTTATTAAAATTTCAAAATATATAAAATAACACTATAGTATATTTTATAGTAGCATATATTTTAATAAATATGGTGCTGGGAATAGAACACAGTACCTAGCACAAGCTGAGCATGTACTCTACCACTGAGCTATGCCCCACAACTTGCATTCAACTGTTTTCTTTTTCATAATGAATCTTTTCCTTCATCTAAATGTAATGTTCTTACCTTCGTTCTCACTACTTGAATGAATAAAATTTCTTACCTTTTAAACATTTTACATAGGTACTGAAAAGGCTATTGAAATACTCTGTACATGATTTTTTATATTTTCCTGCTTATTTTAAATCTTTTGGGGAAAAAAAGTACTTTGTACTTTTCTGATTTTTTTTTTTGTCAAAGAAATAATAAGCAAAAAGAAAATCTATCCCTTTATTTCTTTGTACTTTAGTTTTGTATGCACTGTTAAAATGGAGACACTATGTTACCCAAGGTTAAAAACTCTTGTTATCCTCCTGGGAAAATATTTGTATCACTACATTATCAGCCTCTGATTTCTTTTGTGATTGCTGTTGCTGCTATTTTAAACTACTGCTTCTGGTCTGTACTTTCTCTTTTATCTTGTATCAATGGGAGTAGAAAGATAAGTAAGGGGGAGAGGTAATTCTTACCTCTGGGGGGATTTTAACAGTTTTCAATCGAATAATAGCTATCAAGGCACCACACACGTGGTTTAAATAATGATCACACAAATGCTCACTCCTTATAAACCACGTGTGGCACTGACTGGAAACCACCATTAGAAAGGCGTTGTATTACAATACTGTATATCAGAAAACACTCTCCCATGATCATATTTTCCCAGAGCAAAACTCTACTTTAAATGAAAGAGCAAGAGTGAGATATACACCGGCATTGTATATTTCAACAATAGCTTGTGAGTGGCTTGCCCACAGCTTTTTATGAATGCTGACCCCTCACATTAACAATAATAATAATAACAATAATAATTAAATGTAAGCCAGAAACTGATTTGAGCTTATTTTAACATTAATAGCAAAAAACTACCTTCCACATGATAAGAATTTGTGTACCTTGGTGACCTGAACAAACAGTTTCTCTAAAGCAAGATTTACATATGAGTGGCTCTCAGGCTAAATTCAAGTCATAGACACTTTCTTTTTCTTGTACAGTGTTTTAAATATTTTTTAAAATTTTCCCAATTAGATTTCTAATTTCTCTTAAAACATTAAAAGGTGAATCCCCAATCTCATCATCATGCACTGAGCTGAGAAAGCAAGGGCTTCATGGTTAGATTGGGTACATGATTTTCCAGTTCTCCATAGTTCCTGCTGCTCCATGTTCTTATATGCCACTTTCTATGTGTATTTACTTACCTGCTTGACCTTATTAAGCATTTACACTGATAACCACAGCTATAAAGGAATGACAACTACCACTGAAAATCAGTCTGTTATAGCTGGGAGCACTGTCACAGAAAACTGTATGAAGCAAGAGCCTGGAACAACTGTTCGTCACTCCTGCATTGCCAAGGAGCCTTCACCTGACCCTGGGACCAAGCTTTTAGTTCTGTAGTTTTGCAGGGAAGGAGAGAGCAGTGTCTCTCCCACCTCCCCATTTTTACCAGCACAGACTTCCAACAATCTT